TACAAAAAAAAAAAAAAAGAAAAAAAAAAGCAGCACTGAAAGATATAACACCACAAATAATTCTCATCTACATTTATTTTCATTCACATTAGGAAGGACAATAATGGCCTTACCTAGCGGTATATGTTCTCTCTTCAGAGTCTTGCAGTTTCCTACGTGTTCCACCGGCACCACTAGATAATGGTGCGGGGCTCCCGGTCTTATATCTCTAAAGCAAACCAGATCTTCATGCTAATGGAACAAAACCAACGGAGTGGTTTGTTATTAAACTGAGGATATTGGCAATCCGCAGGTAACAATACCAGTTTTCCTGAGGCTGAACTGACATTCATGCACTATGCTGGAATACTCTACTTACCATAAAATGTATTTTGAATAGTAAATCAGATCTCTTATTAACTATGAGTTTGGCATTACAGGATATTCATCCCAATGATCTGCAAGGTTTTTGGAGTCAATCCAAAAAAACTTCCAAGCAGTTTTATATCTAGCCACTGCAGCCGTGCCTCTCCAACATCCAAATTCCAGGCCCCACACAACTAAAAACAGACTCATTATGCAGAATGCAATTTCCTTTTAATAAACTTTACACCACTACCTCTGTGGGCAGGGGCTGGGGGAAAGAGTGGGCTGTTGAAAACAAGAGGATTCCACCTGTTTATAGGTTTGAGAGCTCTCAAATGGCAAAGCACTCTCTTACAGGCAGTACTTGCACACTGAAGGTACAACCTTGCTGTGCTAATGGATATCTTACACAATGTAAAGAAAATGTAATCCTTAATTCTTATAAAGCAATCCTCCAACTGCTTTACTATCTATTTATCTCCTGAATCCTTCCCTTCCATGCATCATTTTTATATGGATAGGTTCCAAGCTCAAATGCAGGGGATCTGTTGCATTCTAGCTTTTAAAGCTCTGACCTAATTTGCTTGCTTTAGCATCACTGCATCCACCACCGACTGAGCAAAGACTCATATATGGACTTACTTTTAGAACAGTGGTTCTAAATCTTTTTAGATTCAAGGAACCTCTTATTAGATTCAAAGCACCTAGCAAAAGACGCCAGCTCATTTTTCTGACAACCAAAAAGTGGGCGCAATTATTCTGTTGCAAAGCACCCAGAAAGCCCATAAAATACCAGAATTTTGTTTACACTAAGGATTCCTATGTGAAACCTGTGGGTTTATCTTTAGCACTGTCAAGTGCATGAAATTAGTGTTATGTCATGTGGCACCTCAAGCACCCTTGAAGAAGATACCAAAGCACTCCATGGTGCTGCAACACCCTGCTTGAGAATCACTGTCTTCAAGTAACATTGCAGCCCTGAAGGTCTGGCAAATATTTAAGCAGCAAAGATTTCTGTGGGCCATGTTTTTTAGTGGAGCAATTGCATGGCTGGGACATAGTTCTTAGTTTCTTATGAATGCAGAATGCGCTGTGTCCAGAAGTGCTATTTACTGGGCAGACCAGAGGTCCATCTTGGCCATTATCCTGCATCACACTAGGCAGAGATTGGATGCAGGGTGTTCCCCTCCGCACCCCCCCCACTGTTCTTCTCTCACTTGCAGCCTCCAGCATTTAAACTGTAGATATTTTTGATTCAGAGGCTGTGCCCCTGACTCCCATGCTCAAAAGCTACTGATGCACCTTTTCTTTAGGAATCTGTCCCATCCCTTTTTTGAACCTGGCTGAACTGTCAGCTTCCACAACATCTGTTGGCAATGAGTTCCACACTTGAATGTGGAACAACAAGACAGCCTGTGTGAAAAAAGAACTTTCTCTTGTTTAAACTTACTACCTACTGATTTCACTTTGCAACCTTTAGCTTTTGTCTTGTGAGAGACAGTAAGTGATTAAGCCTAATTTACTTGCTCTTCACCATTTCAGATTTTTTCTTTTTTAAACTGTACAGATCTAGCCACTGTAGCCTCTCCTCATATAGACACCTCTCCATACCACTAATCACCCTTGTTGCCTTTCTCTGGGCCTTCTCCAGTCTTCTACATCTTTTTTGAGGTGTGAGGTACAGAACTGGACACAGTGCTCAAGGTGTGGACACATCATGGATTTACACAGGGACATAATGAGACTTTTCATTTTGTATACAATTTTCTTCCCAACATTTTGTTGGCCATTTTGAGGGCTGCAGAGCTCTGAGCTGATGTTTTTAGTGAACTAACTGTCCACAACAACTCCCAAATCTGTTTCCTGTGTGGTCACAGCTACGAGAAAACCAGAGTGTAAGCACAGCTTGGGGTATTTTTGCCCATGTGCATCACTTTACACTTATCTATCTTCATGCTATCTACTTACCTGAATTTCATCTTCTATTTAATTGCTTATTTGCTCAGTTGTACCACATCCTTCTGCAAGTGCTCACAGTCTGCCTGTGGGTCTTCACCACTTTGAATCATTTTATTAAACACAAACCTGGCCACCCCCACATCACTGCCCACCCTTTTCCAGATTGTTTACAAATATATGAAACAGGACCGGTCCCAAAACAAACCCTGCAAGGGAATCTCACCGTTTACTTCTTTCCATCCCCAAAAACGAGTGTTTATACGCAACCCTTTTGTTTCCCATCCTGAAATCAACAAAACCAGGACAGGGCACAGAAACCAGAGGTGTGGACACAGCACAGATTTATCAAGAGGCATGAGATACTTTCACTATTGGAAAGGAAACATGACCCACTGACAAAAGGCTGAAGGAACTAGGAGTATTTGGTTTGGAGAAGGGGGGGGATGGAATTTGACAACAGTCTTCAAATACCTATTCTAGGTGGCCACCAGGAGCAGTAAAAGGAGCAACAGTTGTATATGGCAGCAAGGGACACTTAGGTTTGAGATGAGAAGGGAGGCCAAGCACTGAGACAAGCTAGGCAGAGGCTGTGGCAGCCCGCTCCTGGGGCATTTTTAGAGGTGTATAATGATTAATGATCTTATTTAATGAATAATAGCAAAAGGCTTCAAAAAACACAATAATTTTGGAAGCAGCTAACTGATGCAGCAGATGCAAAACCCAAGTCACTCTCAGAGCATCTTAACCGACTTTTGAGCACTCCCCCACGATGGCTGGCCTCAAAATGAAGAAAAGTGCTTCAGCTTTGAGGACCCAGTTCTCACTCAGTCACTGGAGAGTCACAGTGAGCAACAGAAAGTAAATAAAAAACAAGAACTTTTTTCATATCTTGCATGTATTTTCAGGGTACCATAGTTTTCCAGGAAATACCATCATCTTGAGCTTCCAATATGATCATTCCCGATTTAAAGTCTGGCCAGGCTGCGTCAGACACACACTTGCCCGGAGCGATTTCGCGGTGGGACAGGGCGCCGCCGCGTCCCCAGCTCCGCGCCCCCGCCCAGACCCAGACCCGTCCCCCCACACCTGGCAGGGCAGCAGCGCGGTGCCCGGCTCCTCCCGGCGGCCGATGCGGCAGAAAACGCACTTGCTGTCGTAGCCGCCTCCGCCGCCGCCGGCCTCCCCCTCGGCGGCTCCCG